TGCATATATTCTGGCTGTCCCGGGAGGTGTGCGAGCGGCCGGGAGGAAGCCGGCCGAGCTGGGCTGACAGCCGGCCCCGCCGCCTCCCCCGCCCCGCCGGCGGCGCCCACCCCGCCCGCCCCCGGAGCCCCGCGGGGCGCCGAGCGCCGAACGCCCCCGGGGAGCGGCCAGGAACAAAGTTAAAACGGCGGCGGTCGCGCACCTACCCGCTGTCTGTCATGTCTCCTCCGGGCGCGGGGTGCTAAGTGAGACACTGGCGGGGTGGGGAGAGCCAGAGGTGCGGGGAGGGACCGGGAGATGGGTGTTTGGTGAGCTCTTCCTTTCTCTCCCCCCTTCTTCCCACCCCTTCCCCCTTCTCGCTCTCTGTCTCTCAAGGACGAGGTGAAATCCCTTGGCTGGTCATGAGGCGGCTTCAGAGACAAACAACACAATGCGAGTGCAAATAACAAAAGGGGGAAAAAAAAAAAAAGGAAAGAAAAAAAAAAAAAAAGGAGAGGGAGACCGGGAACAATGGGGGAGGAGAGGCTCGCCGCGCCGCGCCTGGCCGCCGCCGGCACCCCGGCAGGCAGCAGGAGGAGGAGGAGGAGGCGGAGGAGGAAGGCGATGTGGTGACAGCGGGGAGGGGGCTGCGCGGGGAGTCCCCCCGGCACGGCGGGGCTGCCTCACACCGTCCCCGACCTCCTCCCGCCGCCCGCCCCGCCGCGCACCGGGGCGGCCCTGCGCGGCGGCCACCGGTAAGTGACGCGCCCGCCGCCCCCGCGCACGGCCAGCACCATCCTCATCCTCGCTGTCCGCGGAGGCAGCGGGGGCGGCGCTGCCCGCCCGTACGGCCAGCGGTTCAAAGCGGCGGCACCGAGCCCATCCCGCCTGCCCCTCTGCTCCGCCCGGGAACTTCTTCCCCGAGCGGGGCTGTCGCGGGGACACACCGCTCCCGAGGTGTCCCTTCCCGAGGAGCGGTTCCCCCCTCCCGCCCTTTCGCCGGGAGTAAACACGCCGAGAGTTGCGTGTCCGTGGGCGTGTGCGTGTCCGCTGGCACCTCCCGCACGGCCAGCCCCTGTCACCGCGCACCGCGCACGGGCCCCGCTGCATCCCCGCTGCTCCGCTCCGCTCCGCTCCCGGCACCCAGCCGGCCGCGGGGCCCCGGGGCACAGGCAGAAGTTTGGGCTCCCTTCCCCTCCGCGCTCTCCCGCAGGGCCGAGGATGAGGCGCTGCGCTCGAAGCCCAGCGGCGTCCCCGCAGCCCCAGGCGTTACCTCGGCGGCCGGCGGGACCGCGGCTCCCCGCGCTGCTGCAGCCCGTGCCCGTGCCCGTGCCCCGCCGTGTCCCCGCCGCCCCGGGCGGGCGCGCAGCGAGCGCTTGTCTCCGCTCGTCGCTGCCCTCCTTCTCCCGCGGCTCGGTTGCAGCCCCGCCGTGTCCCGTGCCCGGGGGTCCGCGGCAGTGGTGCGGGGGAGCTGCGTTTCCTCCCTCCCGTTTTCCTGCCGCTGCTCCTGCCCCGTGCCGCGGGGCCCGTCCCGCTGCTGCGGGGGGACGGCGGGGCTGGAGGGTGGCGGCACCCCGCGCTCTCCGAGAACCGGGTCTGCCTCTCGCTCGCTCTCCCGCTTGTTTACTTACGGGGTCTTTTATTTTTAACGGAGCAGTTTGTACACGTGCTTTGCCGAAGCCGGCTGGACGGGGTTCGAGCCTGAGAGTGGGAAAGGCAGAAATCTGCGCCCTGAGCCAAATTGCTCAAAGAAGAGCAAGTTCGGTTATTATTCATCTCCACGAGGGAAGTCTTATCTTCTACAAATATTTGATACTGGGACAAGTCCAATAATTAACAAGAACAATCAAACAATTTCACTGCCTTCTTGGGGATTTAAAAAGTCATCATCTGGAATTCATGAACATTACAACTTTTTTTTTTTCTTTTCCCGTGCTTGGATATGTTACTGTATATGATCTTTTCTCTGTGTGTGTGTGTCCCTAAGTGATTTTACCCTTTCATGCAAAAAGATGCAAACCATTAACAGCACGGATAATATTCACAACTGCTGATTCAGTGAGACTTCAGACCTCTCCGTAGGAGTGGTGAGAGAGGGTGGTAACTCTGACGGGAAAAGGAGAAAAAAAGAAAAGAGCTGGAGGAATGTTTCTTTCTTGGCTTCCTCCCTACCTCTGTGGCAGGAACTCCCACGGGAGTCCTGTGGGTGGGACGGGAGCAGGGCAGATGGGAGCTTGGCCAGCTCTGTATGGGCGCAAGCATCAGCTCTCCCAGCCAGCCCCGTAACTCCTCACAGCAGAGAAAAAGCCAGGCTGGCAGAGGAACTTCAGGGGCGAGCTCTGCAGCAGCATTTCTGCAGAGCCGGGGTGCCAGGGAGGCAGCATGGCTCTCAGGGCCTGCAGTGACCAAGCAGGACACACAGGGATGGCCTGACTGTACCCAAAAACCCCAAGCACTAAGCCAACCTCAAACTTGCCTCTTCTGAATTAAATGCAGGCTTTTGAGAAAGGTGGCCACAGTGCAGGGCGTTTGTCCCTGCGCTGTCCCAGCCACCGAGCTGGGCACCAGTTCTGGCTCTGGCTGTCAGAGCTGCACCTCCTCAGCCCCCTCCTGCTCATGCAAATCCCTCTGCTGACGGCTGCTCAGTGCTGCAGAGGCACTGGAAGAGCTCAGGCATGGAGCTTTGCTCTGTCTCAGGTCATCTCAGACCCGGCCACTGCAGCCAGACCTCCACGGGTCAGGCTGGCAGGCTCTGGGTGTCCTCCCCACATCCTTCAGAGCTCTTTTCCCTTCATACCCTGCCCACAGCCTTTTTTAACTTGCATAAGCACTGCCCCCACCCTTTACTACTTGCTTTATGCCAACTCCTCCTTGCAATCATGATAAAGTTCCTTGCAGTTCAGCACAAGAAAGGAATAAGGGTGGCTGGGTCCAAAACTAATCTGGTGCAAAGAGAAAAAGCCAAATGCGGGTGCATTTTATTTAAGATCAAAAGCACAATGGTGTGAGATTGTATTATGCTCTCCACAGGAGCTGTATTTTTCTAGTTCTACAATAGGATTAAGGTGTTCAGTGGAAAAGAGAATTACAAAAAAAAAAAAAAAAGAAAGGAAGGAAGGAAAAAAGCCCCCATTGGACTGCTAGCAGCTGCATTTGAGTTTGTCTAGAATAATGAGGATATTTCATTCCTCAAAGACTCTAGCATCCTATTTCCAAATGCTTTTTTAAACAACTGTGAACGCCAATAATCATTTAATTTTTACTATTTATTGCAAATAATTAATTCTAGGGGTTTATTTATTTTTTCATTTAAAGGAAGGATGTTTGCCATTTCTGCATTGACTCATTTCAAGATTTTCAGTCAACCAAATGCTTTTTTAGTAGAACCTAAAGACATCTCCTTATTTAGCCCTGCATATTTGAGTGCACAGGATGTTGAATGTTAGCACACACGGGCTGGACACAGCTGGGAGCACAGCTTCAAGCCACTTTTCCACCCTGAATAACTAAAGAAAGCACAAAAGAAAATTTTCAGTGCAACTTACCCAGTGAAAGGTAGGCTACTGGGTAAAAATTGCTAGCTATTTTAGATTTGCAATTGGCAAAGCTCTGGCTAGCTCCCAGTTTCCCAGCACCAGGGAGGCATGGCCTGAGCCTGGTGCTGTTCTAGTGCTCATGGAACATGGCTGTGTTGAAATGAAAGGTAGCACACATCTTCCCAGTGAGCAGTGTGCACCTAAAAATCAGTTTGTGAAGGTGTTTTATGCACAGCTCTACGTTGGTTCCCCCCACCCACCCCTGAACCTGCAAGTTAAAGTTTTATGTATGATTCTAAGGAAAGAAAAATACAGAGAGATCCCTCTGCTCACACAGAGCTAATCTGTCTTTAGTTTTCCCTGGCTTTTTCCCTTCACTGCCACTATTCACAAGCTGCTTCTTGCCTCATCCTCCTAGAAAATTCATAGCTCCAGTTTTCTACTCCATTGAACCTTGGCACACTCATTTTCACAAGAGCTGTGGTGAAATGCCACCTTTCCCACATGGAAATGGTTTGTTACTACCTCTCAGAGGTATAAATGACAGCATTGAACAGCAAAGCCTGAGTCCTATAAAACAACATTATCTTTGTGCCGGAGTAATCCAATTATTGAGGTACTGAGATAACCTTAAAGCCATATCGAAATGAAGAAACCCCTTAGGAACTTACAAACATCTGTTTTCCTATCAGAGAGCATCAGCACAAGAACACCCTTACGTGGTCCCAATCAGTCCAAGCACCACTCTCATCTTTTACATTCAGCATGCCTTATCTGCTCCTCTGTAATAAAATCAGGGTGATGCTTGCACTGATTTCTGGCAGTAGGAAAAGCCTCTGTTGCTTAAATTAAAGCAATGTGGTTCTATGAAGCTCTTGTCTCTGTTCTCCCAGAGGCACTAGAGAATCCCATCTATAATATTTCAAAAAGACATTAAAATAACTTCCTAGGGAACATAAAACATGCTGCTGTTGTGTCCCTGAATAGGGCACTCTCTCCAGTTTCTCGTTAGCTGGTTCCTGAAATTAAATGATAGAATCATGTTTCAGCAGAGCAACTGGCAGTGTGGGTCCCACATTTAGGTCCTATTAACTAAATAAGGAATATATTTATTTTTAGTAGAAGGTGCATACAAAATCTAAAAGAAACAGGAAATGTTGATTAAATTAAATGTCAGTGTGGCGTTCTATAATTTAAGCTACTGCAGGCACGTGGAATGATAAAGAGAAGAGGAAGCCAGCTGAAAAAGTGAAGATACTTGCTTTGAGTTGTCCATGCTGAGCAAAAATTAAGTATTACAAGAATCTGTAAACAGCTTTCAGCTTCAATAATGGATTAAAGGCGTGAGCCACAATCATCTATCATGCTACCAGTGGTAACCCATAGATTTCAATGAGATTACTGGTATATATAAAAATAATCATAATCTATCAGGACATGCAGATGAATAAAGACAGTCACAAGGATGGATTTAAGAAGTAGGCTGGAACGTCATTAATACAATATTTTCACATGTCAAACAGTTAAGTGGGCCCAGCTCAGGGATTACAAAGCTACAATTTAGGGCAGATCTTCCCTAATCTCTTTTACAACGAGCTCACATCTGAAGCCCACCCCTCAACCCTTCCCCAGGAAAAAGGAGGAGGACCTAAACTCCACAAAACTTCATTTAGGTTTGCTTCTTTCCTAGGCACAAATCCAGTGGCAAAGTTCCAGATTTATTTTTTAATTTCATCCTTAGTCCACACTGAACATTATCAAAAGCTTTCCATTATTCCAACAGATGAATAAATATGTATATTCTCATATATTCCATTTCCAAATCCAGCTTCTTAGCCCACCCCTGACTCTGTGGTGCTACAGAGGCCATTAAAACATTTAAGCCTCTCCAACTCTGCCCTAATAGAAGAACATGATACCAGAACTGACACCAGAATTCCCCACCAAGAGGCAGCATCCCAAAATCACAGGGTATCTATTGTGATGGAGGAGAGGATTAAGTCCCAAACCTTAACTTCACTTTTGTGCCTGCCAGAAGTGAGAGAACCCACCCCGGATGACAGCTGGATGTCTCATGCATATATTCTGGCTGTCCCCTTTCCTTCTTGGCTGTTTACCCCACCACCAGGTTAATTAATAGTGTTTGCCATGGAGCCTCCTCTGGAGGAAGCCTTGCAGGATGAGAAACCATGTGGTGATGCTTGCCTAGGTGTGGGCACCAGCAGGAATGGCTCAGTGAGGGTCACTCAGGACTAATTAATGAGGGCACACCATTAGGATGATGCCTCAGGTTGTAGCTTTGCTATTTTTCACATTCTGAGCTGCTTTAGTGTGTGGGTCTGGGTTCGCATGAGGGGATGGTGAGCTCTGTGCACAGAGCAGGGAGACAAAACAATTCCTGCTCCAGCTGGGCACCAAGGACAAATGATCCCAATCTCAGCCCAGGAGCACAAACCCCGTGGGCTGCAGAGAGAAAAACAAGCAGGATGGGAGTGCAGGGGCTGAGCTGGAATTGGACACTGAACTGCAATGTGCACATGGAGCAGAGCTGATCCCAGGGAGAGACCCCGGGAGCGCTCGTGCATTTTGGGACCATTTGGGTTCATCTTGGGGGCAGCCCTGGCTGGGCTCTGGTGCTACCCAAGATCCTTGGAATCAATCCCTGCTTTATTCTTTAGCTCTGCCCAGCCTCTGTTCCAGATCAGCCTCTCAAGGCATCAGGGGCAGTGCAGATGTGGAACTTCAGACCGTGAAGGAATCCAGGTTGTGAGCTTCAAACTCAAACCAAGGCTGCAGCAAGGTTTTCAGGGTGATTTCCAAGAGTTTCGGGCACTCTACAAGGTGACAAAAAATGTGGCACAGACCTTTCCAAAAGGAAATGTGTCTTTCATTTTTTACATCTAGCCACGTTTTCTAAAACTGGTGACTGACTGAAAAAAGGAGGTAATCAAAATAATCTGCGACTTCTGAAAATAGAGGCCAGTTCCTGTGAGTAAGTTTTAGCAGGACTGAGCAGTTAGTGTCTTATCAGTAGCACAGGAACAGGGATTTGTATATACTGTTTTATTAAGATCATTATCTCTACAGTGCTCCTTAAATGAAAACAAAAGAAGAAAAAAAATGCCGTAAAAGGACAGAAAAAATGACTCACTTTCCCATCATTGCCAAAAGCCTCCAATTTTCAATACAATCAAGGTGTGTGCCACAAGATAGATTTTTTTTTAATAGGTATTTAGGTGCAGTAATTAATATTAAAATAAGCGTGGAAAAAAAATGGTATGACCTTGTTTAAAATTTAGCACATTGCTGTAGGATTATTCTCCAGCATGTATGCAATAAATAATACCCTTAAAAAAGCAAACAGACATAGCAAAACCAAACAAAATTAAGTAAAAAATGGCCAAATGTCTAAACAAAAGATATTCTGTCTTAGTACACAGTTTGTTCTCTGAATTTGTGATCATTGTTTGAAAAATCAGAGAGCATATACAATTTTTGCTACATCATTTCTCATGCAAAGCTGTTTTCTTGCACTACCATCTTTTGTGGAGTAACAGAGCTCCTAATATCCTTAAATTACTATCATAAAAACAAAAAGGAGAGGAGGTTGCACTGCAATGAGGTGTCGTTTGTGTTCATAACAGGGCAATCATTGATTTAAAATTGGCATTGGGGCTCCTTTTGTGAAATGATTGCTGGGTTAGGAAAACAACCCTTTCAACTGGCAACATCTGAATTTCTAAGGAAGGACTGGGGTTTAGCACTTGTTCTGGTCTGTGCTGACTCTTAGACCTGCACCTATTTCTCTGTGTGCATATTCTATTGCTCTGGATGTGTCCTAGAGGAATGCTTGTAAGATCATTGTCTGGAAGGTTCAAATAGATTTATATTTTACCTTTAATGAAAAAAAACAAACAAACAAACAAACAAACAAAAACCAAAAAAAAAAAACCAAAAAAAACCCCAAAAAAACCAAAAAACCAATGGCATATAAATAAAATTTTCCTAAGAACTCAAAGCCTGTTTTACCTCGTGCTGCAGGTCTGCAGTGAAGGATAAGCAGCACCAAAAAACCAATGGCATATAAATAAAATTTTCCTAAGAACTCAAAGCCTCGTGCTGCAGCAAAATATTCTCTGTTCTGCTTTTCCAGTGTGTGGGCATTCAGGCTGCTCCCTACAAATGGCTGCACAAGGTGAGAGGCACAGGGAATCAGGCCCCAAAGATTTTCTATACTGGATCAGACCACTGGTGCATTAAGTGTGTCACCTCACAGCTGGATGCTCCAAAATGAACCTAGCTGTCTGTGCAGTACTGTGGGAGCTGCTCTGGCACTCAGGTTGCATCCAGGAGAGGAGAGTGGGGTTTTGCCTTTTATTTTCTTAGTGCATCTAGTCAGAGCTGCCCTTATTTGGGATCAAACCGTTCAGACTTCCTCAGCAGTTAAACAAGAGTATCTGACTCTGGTTGTGAAACAGGATGTAAGACGTGGCATTAGAAATTATAAATAATAGCATGAGAGAAAACAACACAACAAACACTGCTTTCTCACTGTTTTCATGTGCTTATCTGGTGTAAGAAAATAGTCTGCAACATGAGAAACACAAAATCAGTGTTCCATGATTTACATCAGGGCATTATGCACTGCAGAGCTAATTTGTGGAACTTTGCAGCTTCGTGTAATTGATTCATTTAAATCAGAAATGTGAGTTAATATTACATGAACAATAATCATATACAGTATTAGGAATTTCCAGGTATTAGAACACAAAGTAGCACAAATATATCAACACACAAAGCTGTGCAAACCTTTCAGAGCTTTCATATGCTGAACCCAGCGAGAATCAAATCTCAGCACATCAAGTCATAGGCACAAATATTCCTAAACCACTTCAACTTGCTGATTTCAGCATCCAAAAAGTCACCAAAGCAGGTGAGCAAAACTTAGCACACGTGCTGGATACATTGATCCTAGATGTCCCATGTTCAGAAGTATTCCAAAAGCAATGACATACCTGCTATGTGACTGAAAGTCAATAGCTCTCAGAGGTGCCCCTGAATTGCTTCTCTGGAGCTCAGTTTCAGCCACCAAAAACCCCCAACAAAACCTACAAAGAAAATGCATGTGCCTACACTCACAAAAAAAAAAAAAACCAAATTAAAAACAACCCCAAACCAAACAAACTACCCAGCCAAAACCCAAACACTTATGCTGCAGGCTTACATGCTATTTTTTTTTTAAAGAGTTTCATTTCAATAATATTTTTAAACATATGCCATGTGACTGGTGATCCAGCTTCCCCAGTTCACACAGCAGAACATGAAAGCTTTCAAGAACAGGTGTCCCACCATCCATTCACTCTTAGTCATTCTGAAACATAACACTTGGCTGCAAGTCTTTTGCCAAAAAATTAAGGTCATTCAGGAAAATATTTTTTAATCCCCCTTTTTTCTTTTTTCTATTTTGATAGAACTGCCTCTCTTCAGGCAAAATAAAGTAAGAGATGAGTAAACCAATGATCTCTTTCTGCAAATGTTTATGTGAAGAGCCGTTATTGATAAAGTTGAAGTTTCCCCAGTGAGAATCAGCTTTTCAGTGGGATTTGTTTAAGTGGGCTGATTTGACTTTTTGGCCAGGTAACTGAAACACCTCTTGTGATCTTCTGCTGCAGGTGAGGAGCTCATGGGCTATGGCTGAGCACCAGGCAGCCCCAGGATCTGCTGGAATTCAGGGAGAGCTCCTGGCAGGGACACCTGAGGTTCAGCCTCCTGCTGGCACCGGGTCAGGGCCCTGTGCAGAAGAGTCAAAGCAGGAAAGAAGGCCAGAAGAGAAGATGGCAGGCCACGAGGATGAAATCAAAATAGAAGCAAGAAGTCAAGTGGCAGAAAATTGTCTATTAGACAAATTTTTAAAAAGTCCTCACTAAGAACCTGTCAGACAAATGAGAAGTCTCTGAATTAGTGTGTGTGTGGTGGGGGGTGTTTGCATTTTTGTCTTTCAACTGACTTCAAAACAAACCAAAAAGTTTGGAAGAAAACAAAGGTCTCTAGTATGGCCTTTTGTTCAGAAAGAAATCTGCACTAAAACCCTATTGTATTCATCCTCCAAGCCAGGAGCAGGGCTGGTATTTGTAAATCCAGGGCAGGGATTAGAAGCCAGGCTTGCAGACAAAGAGCAAATCCAGGAGTTCACAGCAAGGACTCTCCCACTGCAATATTCTTGAAGTCCTTCTCACCCAGACACCAGCTGTTCATACCTGCAATTACCTTTTTCTTTCGTAGCTTCAAACTGATACTTTCACAGTGAAGGCCTTGATGCAGTTGATTAATAAATTTCTTATTTGAGTAAGGAGGTTTTGAAAAAGAAGAGTGACTGTGAGATAACTGGTGTCCATGGGGAAGGAGGGAGAAGGGCCAACATTAGGTGTGGGACAAGAGGAAGAGGCACCAAGGGAGACACAAAGGAGTCCTGAAGAGCATCACTCATCAAGTAGGGAGTTTTAACACTGCTTACTGTATATAGGCTGCTCCCAGACTTTTGGGACTTTTCAAGGCTTTCAGAATAATTAAATATTAGTCTTTGTTTTTATAGCAGGGAAGGATGTTTTTACTCAGGAACATCTAGCATTCCTGAAGCACTCCCAAGCTGGAAAAGCTATCTTTACCTATTTCAGCTCTCTTTGTTCACAGTTAAATTTATTTAGTGGCTGAATAGTTGGGATGGCATTGAAAACAAATTACCTTCCTACTCTCATGTTACCTTCCCCTATCACCTGTTTACCCTCCTTGCCCACCGTTTTCCTAAAAAGCAGCTTGGTGACAAGGATTCCCATTTCTGTGGTGCCACAGCCCAACAGAGAGCAATGCACAGAGATTAATGTCATTTTTGAAGGAATTTTTTTTTACTTGTCACTTTTGAATTTTTTTTTTTTTTTTGGTTTTGGGTTTTTTTTTTTTTTTTTTGAGACGCTTATTCCACAGAGGTGATAAATGCAATCTTGCTTGTTACTGTGATTCACAAACTCCTCTTCACCCCCTCGGTGTAATCAATTCCCTGATGATCAGTGCTCAGCCAGTGCTTGTGTGTGCCTGGGTGTGTGTGTCAGGCAGAGCAAGTGTGCAATGGAGCTGGAGCTCACCCTGCTCCACGCAGCATGTGAGCATCCTGTGACTGGAAATATGCTCCCTTGCATAATCCTGAGATTAGCAAAGTCCTAGTAAAGGATGTCAGACAGAAAAAGGAGGAGGAAAAATGCTTAAGGTAAATACAGAGGGAAACCCAGTCTAAGAAATTAACCAACAGGGTTCCTGCTCAGTTCTGGCTGCATCTCTGTCATTGCCTGTGTGAACCGGAGCGAGGCATCACAACTCCTCTGGCCTTAAAATCCCTTCCCTTAAAAACAAGAACTGAAGTAGGTGGAGCTATTTGAAAGATCCTTGGCTGTTTAGAAGATGAGTTGTGCCAGAGCCAGTTGATGATAACCAACTTCTGACAGACAGAGGAGGGAAGGTTAGCAGATCATGAAATACGCCCTGCTCGATGTGTGACATTCATGGAAAAAGTCACTGGCTGGAAGTGATTATCATCTTGGCAGCTGTGCTTGGTGGGATGAGGCACTGGGGCAAACACCTGAAAGGTGCTAACTGGCCTTGCTCAGGTGTGTTGCTGGCTGCTGGCATTTTTGATGCTAAAAGGGGAGGTGATTCCCAGACATCCCTCTGCAGGAAGGTGCCATGGGCGTTTTAAGAGTTGCACTTCCACAGGAGGAGTTCCCATGTTCTTCTGTCCAAGAACTCACCCCACAGCCTTTGTGCAACTGGGAGGCTCCTGGACAGGATGGACAGTGTCTTCACTGACAGAGAACATGGATAAATTATACCAACTATAAACTGAATCCCTGTGCCAAATCCTCGCATTGCAGACTTGGGGCCAAAATGAAGTTTTTTGGTTGGGGATTTTACAAGGAAACCTATAACCAAAACTGTCATAGCAGCCTCCACTACATCCAAAAGAGGAGGCAACATCTTACAGAATTTCAGGTGAATATTGGAATTGAATATCAAACCTGAATACATCTCTATGGGTTGCAGAGATCTCCTGCTGATTTTATTTCTAAAGACAAGACAGTTCACCCCCAGAGGTTCTTTTGCTTGTATAGAGAAAATAATCTCTCCTCAGATCATCTCTCTGTCTGTCTGTAACCCATAGAGTTTGCACCAGCAGTCCTTTCATTTGTGGTGAACCCTATTTTTGGCTGGGAGCAGAGGTGAGGGAGGCAACCAAGAAAAAGCTTCAGAGGAAGCCTCAGCTCGTGCCCACAGAAGTGTTTTTCCAGATGGGGTGTCCCCTGTGCTCTCCCCAAACCCGCTGCCCTGCCAATACCCTCCTCAGGCTGTGCCCAGGAGCTCGGGAAGCGGTGGCATCTGTGGGGACAGCTGGGGACAGCCCGGGGCTCCCCGCAGCTGCACCAGCCCTGGGCAGCCTTCCCTGCACACCTGGCAAGGCACCAAAAACCCATTTGAGTCTTTAGCAAAGATATTTCCCTCCCTCGTGGTGTTTTGAGTCCTTTCTTGGAGCCTTTGTTCGCCGGGCTTGGCAGGAGTCCAGGCAGCCCACAGACAGAACAATGCAGAGCTCCAAGCCCAGGTTGAGTGGTGGGTCAGGGTGGGCTCAGCACGTTCTCCTCCTTCCAGAAACCCCTTCCCTCGCCCCTCTGCCTCGTTGCTTTGCAGCAAGGTGGAATGGAGCACATCATCTACCCAGCTGGGGGAAACCCAGTGTCCCTGAGCTCGTTGTTAGGTAAGAACGGAGCAGAGTGGAAAAGTCGAGAAAGGAATTTGTGTGTGTACCTGCAGAGGCTCCAACCCGCCCTTTGTGCGTGCACAAAGAACACCAGGTATTTACAGACAAAAGTAATGAATCTACAAGGGTGTTTAATCCTTGTCTTTTAATTCTGGTTTCTTCACCAGCTGAAGTGTCTGTGGTTTGAAATTCACATTATCACAACTTTCTTGGTCTCAGTGATCCCCTTCCCAAAGCAAGTTACTTGTTGCAGAAGTAAATTACTTCATATCATTTTCTTAGAAGATCATTAAAAGAGTTTCTCGTAGCATTCGGGTTGCCAGTTTGAACTGGGTGGCAAACAAGAGGTGGCAAACTAATTAGCACCTCAGAGATATAACAGATTAAAAGTGAGTATTTCTGTCTCATTTTGAACCCGCTCAAATACAATGGATCTGTAAATTCAGCTCAGAAGCTGTTGGGGCTGAATTCTGCTCAGAAGAAATTATGTTCAGAGAAGCCAGAGAAAGCATGACAATGAAAAGTAAAGCACAAGACAGAACAGAAATCTGATAGGATGAAATGTCCAAAAGATTACATGGAAACCAAACAGAAATAGGAATGCTTCTGTTAAAAGACAAGCGAATGAACAACAACAACAACAAAAAAGAAAAGCCCAACTTTACAGCAGCCCAGCCTGAGGGAAGCCCTATTTCCATGTATACCATAAGGGTTAGTTTTCCTAGAAAATGAGCTACTTCAATTGCCATTGCAGAAAGGAGAGCCTTGCTATTCCCCTGCAAGAAGTAGCAAGCCACGTGAATTCCTTTCCCCCAGTAAGTAACTCACAGAGGATGTGATTCTGCAGAGCAGTTATCTGGGCAGTGCTAGTGCTGCACAAAGTGCCAGGGATATGGTGAGGGCCCATATGTCTGCAGATCCCCCCAGCACAGGCACATCCACGAGACGTGGGAGGTGGAAAAAGCAAAGCTGAGTGCAGTCCACACCAGCACCCTTAAATCTTAGAGCCACAAGTGTTTGTACATCTGCTAGTGAGGATTAGACTGTCCAGATCATTAAAATTCAATGCATAAGTAGAAATACTTAAAATACAAAAGAAAAAAACTTTATATAGCAATTTCCCCCCTCCTTCTGAGCTGGTTTCCCTGTCAGTGTAACTCTGCCAGCTTTAATGCCTGTTATTTTTAATTTGCTGCACAAGAGGAAAGGCAATCAGGGAAGTTCATGTGCTCACATACTCTCATACACATGCGTGCTTCGATAGATATCATACATAATTTCTCAAAGTAAATATGTGGTGATTAATTTAATAAAAGAAATAATTGCAAACAGCATACGGGGTCATGGGTGACAAATCTAATCATTTACTGAGAGTAATATATGCAGAAATAAACAAGATATAGCTTATAAGCAATGTGTGGGAAGTTAGCTATGATTCAGGCAAGCGTTTGGATTTCTTGTTTGTGGACAGAAGGTTGCAAATTTAACCACTTAACAGACACCTCTCTAATTTCCTGGTAATTAATGATTTTTGTAATGATTATTAAGGCCTCCAGCCCTAGTACTGGCAGCTCATTATTGTATTTGTGAATTAACTGTAGCAGTTAAAAATATAGGTGGACAAGAAGCAGCTCCATCTTATCCTGGGCTGCTGCAGCACTCTGAACTAGAACGTGTAACCCCTCTAGTGGAAACTGGGAAAAGTGGAAAAGTGGCTCCAAAGAATTGCCCACGGTAAGACACGGGCATCCCCAGTTCCTCCAAGATCCATAAATGAAAATTTCCTTGATTCTGCATCCCTTCAAATGCCCTGGGCTCAGAAAAAATGCAGCGTCACTGATGTTCTACTGCAGGATGCAGGAAAAGTGCTGGGAATAGAATGGGGTGAAATGAAGGAAATAAGGTTTGGGCCAAGCATCCTGTTTCACTCCAATGAGAACACAATTAAGCTGAGCCACCCTGAGAAGTTTCCTTTCAATAAACAGCCCCATCAGTTTCAAAGTCCTTTAGAGCATGGGTGCTGAAACAGTGCAATCAACAGAGAAAAAAGGCTGTATAACTTAGGGTATAAACTCAGGGTACCCTCATTTCTTCTGACACACCTTTGGGTGGGATGCATTCCCACTGCAGAGAAAGGGAC